GGTTCATGCCATGTTCTGAGTGAACAGCGTGCGTAACAGGTTCGGCCGGCAGGCAAATTTAATTGTGTGGTTAATCTCTGTTTGTTGCATATTGTCTCAATGATGGTGATTGGTGCAAACATTCTGGGTGAAATCACACGAGTTTTTTCTAGGGCTGTGACTAGATGGTTCAGTTTACGAGTTCACGCTTTCTTCAGAATGTCTCAGAGCCAACAAACATGTGTGTGCGTGATGCAAGAATTTTTCTGTGGGATTTGTTGCGCTGACTCATTTTCGAGGAATTCAATAAATCCCGGAGCCTAAGCTTGTTAGCAAATGTGTTCACTGGTTATCCTCATTAGAAGCGACCTGATTGTGATGGCATTTAAATTCTGGACTGGGTGATTGTCAAGTGTCAGTGATGTGGTTTGGGCTGGGGGTGAAGGAGTAAAGTATTAGTGAGGATCTGGGGATTTGGGTGTGGGGGTGAAGGTGTTAGTGAGGGTCTCTCTCTCTCTCTCTCTCTCTCTCTCTCTCTCTCTCTCTCTCTCTCTCTCTCTCTCTCTCTCTCTCACTCTCTCTCTCTCTGTGTGTGTGTGTGTGTGTGTGTGTGTGTGAGAGAGAGAGAGAGAGAGAGAGAGAGAGAGAGAGAGAGAGAAAGAGCGAGTGTGTTTTGTTTCGTCTTGGGTTTTTTTTAGGTTGGGGAAAGGTGGTGTCTTGAGTACAAAATTAAGCCAGGATTGGATTTCTCTACGATTCAGTACCAGGCTAATTTGTTGTCTAGACTTCTATTAGATGCAAAGCACCTACTGTTCTCAGCTAATTGTTCCTTAATTGTTTTTGACTTATTAGTCAATTAGGCAGCAGATTACATGCCACGTAATACGCATCTTGTTATTACGTGGGAAGGTCTACACAGAACGCTCATTGGAACATAACCACGGTTATTTAAAAAATCTCTACTCGGGATAAACGTAAAATCGTACAGAAAACAACAACAGCAACAATAATTAGCAAACGGTGTCGATCCAGATTTGTGCAAAGAGAAAACTGTGACTTTATGATTTTATCGTTTATTCTTTGGAGATTTTTTTTGGTGACGGACGTCAGCGAGCCTAATACGAGTGATACGCTCAGTGTGTGGTGTTTGTTCCAAAGCTTCCTCCAAGGTAAGTCAAAAGTTTTGATCATTCAGAAAACTGACCAGGACTACATGTTATGCTTAGTAAACAAGTTAGTGATGCCGCTATAATTTTATAAGCAGGCACTCGAACCAATGTGCCTATGTGGGTGGTTGGCGAGGTGCTCTGATGTGGTCTGCTTCTTCTTTCCTAGTCAAAATCTATCGTTCTTATCATTCCTCCTGTTTTATTTTAAAACGATGAATGCTACTATTTGAAAGCACTTCTCAATTTGTTTTCGTAAGGTTTCACGGCGCTCGCAACTGCATAAGGTCACATGAGCGCCAAGGGGTGGATGTCAACAGAAAAGCCCTTTCTGGGAATCAGGCTTACTCTGCTCACCTGTCTAGCTTCAACAACACAAAGTCTGCTTCGATTATCAAGGCACCCTGGAAATAGCGGGTCACAAGAGTGTGACAAACATACAAAAGAAGTAGAGGAAAAATGACGATAGTATGGATTAGGAAAGAAAAAGCAGTAGTACTCTGTTGCAGTTCAGGCACTCTTATGAGCATGACACTCATGAATCAGCCCATTTGCAATTCTACTGTGCATACGAACATTTTAAATCCCCCCC